ATTTGCAACGCTGGATGCTTCCATGCAGCAAATGGCAGGCACAGTGAGCAGCAACACTGCAAACAAGCCTGCAAACCAAGTCCACCAGCTGCTTCAAGAAACAACTGAAGAAGCCAGCCTCACTGTCCTTGATCTCCACATGCAACCATCACAGGCTCAGAGAGGTGCCGCCCACACCAGTGTTGCTTCCGTGGAACAGACTTGCTTGCTCATTTACGTGATCAAGAGTAATTTAAAGAACTGGTGCTTCTGTTTATTTCACTTGCTTCTGAAATATGTTGTGTTTATATAGATAAGTTGCACTCCAGTTACACTAAGAACACAGTGTATGGCCAGAAAGCTGAAACACTATTTGTACGGAATGCTTTCTCTTGCCTTGCTGTACTTTCCAATACATTAAGAAATTTCAGGGAGTTGGGGCGCCTGGGTGGCTCATTCGGTTAAGCCTCTGCCTTCGGCTCAGGTCATGATCCCAGGACCCTGGGATGGAGCCCTGTGTCTCCCTGCTCCCTGCTCCGTGGGGAGTCTGCTTGTCCCTCTCCTTCTGCCCCTTCCCCGCCCCCGCTTATGCTCTCTCTCTCTCTCTCAAATAAATAAAATCTTTAAAAAAGGCGGCGGTGGGGGGGGTGCCTGGATGGCTCAGTCGGTTAACCATCTGCCTTTGGCTCAGGTTATGATTCCAGGGTCCTCGGATCCAGCCCCATGTCAGGCTCCCTGCTCAGGGCTCTCTGCTCAGCTTCTCCCTCTCCCTCTGCCCCTCCCACCTACTTGTTGTCTCTCTCTCTCAAATAAATAAATAAAACCTTTAAAAAATATATCTTTTTAATTCCAGGGAGTTTTCCCCTTGACAGATTTTATGGTTTTGTACATTATGTGTAAAAGTACAAGAGGCATATTTTTGTAGATGCCTCTGACAGAGCCAGCATTAGCCTGTTACATATGAAATATCTTTCTCAAAAGTTACATCAAAAACATAGCACCAAAGTATTACAAGAATAAAGTAGAGAATAAAGGTTTTGGCTTTTTTAAAAAAGACACAATCTCAGTTCTCAATGAAGAAAGCCCACCGTTTAAGAGCACATTACCACATAAGCTGTTTAAATACATTAATTCAAGGATGTTCACAACTCCACGAGAAAGGCAATAATGCCTCTGTTTCACAGACGAACAAACCAAGACTTTCAGAGGTTGGATAACTTACCCAAGATCCACAACAAGTAAGTGGCAGAAAGGAGATTCAAGGACACACGTATTGGGCTCCAGAGACCTCCCTCTGTCTACATTACCTACTGATACTCCAGGTGAACAGATAAAATGAAGATATGTGAACATCTGTCAATGTAATGAGCTCCAAATCAGATAGTACTGGAGTTCAGAGAGTTCTAAAGACTGAGAGATGAAAGCAGTCTGTTGGTACCAGTCAGTTAGGTAGGAGGAAGGGCTTGTGTTGACTCTGAAAGAATGGGAGAGAATCTGAGAGGTAAAAGGGGGACAAAGTGGAAGAATAAAAGAATGAGCAAAGGGCCAAAGTAAGGCATAATTTTCTCTCTGAGAAGGGTTAAGGCAAAGCTGGAAATGAAGCTAGAACTGTAGGCTGAGGCCCTCAACTCAGGCCAGAGAGTCCGTGGTCTTCTGAAGTCAGGATGGGGGGAGGGCACTAAAGAAGCTGAACACAGTTGGAAAGTGTCATTGCCAACATGACAAGAAAGATACAGATGGGAGGGACTACCATGAACGTGAAGGTGTAATGGGGAACTGAGCACCACATTATTCAAGCCAATGGGCAACTCTCAGTCCTCACCTTTTGGGCCCATTTAACATGGCAGTTCACTCCCTCTTCCTTGATATACTTTCCTCACTTGGCTTCCAGGACTCCTTGTTGCATCTCTCACCTAGAGCCTAGGCTTCTCTTCTAAATTCTAGACTCCTATCCAACTGCCTATTCAATCCCAGACCCCTGACATTTGTAGTATATCACCTACTAAAATACTATATAATTTACTTTATGATGTTTGCCGTTTATTTTCTTGGTCCCACTCCCTTGCTAGAATGTAAACTACTTGAGGATAGGATTCTTTGTTTTGTTCACTTGTATTTTAAGTGCCTAAAATAGTGCCTGGCACATAGCAAATACTTGTTAAGTATTTGCAGAATAAGTGAATAAAGGGACAGCGTAAGGCAGCCTCAGGGCAGTGTAAGAACCCTCACAAGGTACCACTAGCAAGGAAAAGCAAGTGGAAGTGAAAGTAGCTGAAGGGAAGAGGGACGTGAGGACTTCTCACTTTGCCACGTGGAACCTCAAGTGACCAGATAGGCATTTAGGTAGAAACATCTGGTAGGATTTTGGCATTCTGGGACCAGTGTTTATTATTATCTCTTCATCTGAAAAAAAGGGCTGGCTGTTTTGAGGATTAAATAACCTAAAACTAGCAAGTCCCTGACACACGGAGATATACTCACCCAATAATTGTTTTCCATTCTCTCAGCCAGGTGCCCAGGAAAGTACAGACCACCTAGCTCATGAGCACATCCCCGTCAATTCACCTCTTCACTGGGGGGCCATCACACACTGGATCCCCCTTGACTCCTGGGAGTGCAGCCCTCCCCTGTCAGCCCTCTTTGAAGATTGCCTCGCCCAGGGCCACACTTCCTTCCAGGGCAGCCCTTATCCAAGGACTGATGGACTGATCACTGTGAAGGCACAGAGGCCCCGCCCTCTCACACAGACTTGAGACAGCTCGGGAAAGCCATCCCTGTTCAGGGCTCTCAGGGGCTGGCTGAGACCTTTGCTGGGACCACTCAGCATCAGCCCCTGCTCAGTCTTTCTGCACCTCCCTCCCTTCCATAGGTGAGGATATGAGGCGCTCACCCCTCCTCCCCCCATGAAATAACCTGCCTGCCGATCTCCATTTCACACTCAGCTTCCTGGGACCCCAACGGTGGCAGATAGAACATCCAATAGAGCTCTGGAATTCCTTCTCATTGAAATGCAGATTAAACCCATGTGGACCTGGTTTGACTGAATTCCCTTTTTTTTAGCATGTTTTCTAGGTTTTTAGAATGTAATGTGGTTAGTCTGATGCCACAAATAAAGGAGGGGAGGAGGTACAAATTTAACAACAGAAATCAGTGGGTCTGTTAAGAGGGAAAAATGAAATTTTATTTTTATTTTCAATAACCCCTAACTGGTATTTAGCATTTCCTTCCATTATGAATGCAGGCAACAAAGCATAGCAGTAACTCTTTATGACCTCGCCACAAATAGAAGTCACAGATATTCTCATGACACGTTTTAGTCACGGCAGGTGTCTTCAAATATAGTTTACTGTCCAGACGATCTTGAAAATTCAGTAATTATCTGACCCCC